GGAACACCACCTGTTCATGACTTAGAACTTCAGTTTCTTCTCTTTCTATTTTGCTTTGTTGCTTAGATATTCCATCCTTTCATTGCAGTTTAATTACTGAGACTGCTGATTAAATTACAACAGTTATATAGCAATTCTAGCCTGCCCGGCATGCAAAGAAGAAGCAGTGCCCTGAGACAATATTTGTTGCTTTAGAAACAAAAACCATTGGTGATTACAGAGCCATCCCTGAAGGGAGGCATTCTATTTCTTCTGATCACTAGAACAATGGTGGCAAACTTAAACTCTACTACACTGGTTTTTGTTTCACTGTTTTCTCTGTGAGCCTTAGTTAGAAATGTGGCAAGAAAAAGCACATCATTAAAAATTAAAATCTGTGTTCATAGTTTGATCTTGTGTGGCAAATGAAAATTGCACTGTAGTCATGTCCCTGTACTTTACTGATTTATTTATTTGGTGGCTGCTAGCCATGATGACTGTATGCCATCTTCGTTTTCAAAGGCAGTATGACTTGGAATAAATAAACAAGAGTTGCTGGGGACTATGACTAGGAGAGACCTACTGCAATGTAGCTTGTGGACTTTCCATCTGGTTAGCCATTCTGGGAACAGAGACAGGTCTTTGAACTGGTTGTACACATGCTTCTGATAATATCCATAAAATGTTTTAAAAGAAACATTGATAGAGATATTTAAGTACAACCATAATATCATATAGTACATTCTGACAGAATTTAAAAGAGTAGAAATTCAAATGGTTAGTCAAAGTCATTAGGAAAAAAATAAACAAATCCCTGACAATTAAATGATCAAGAAGTAAGTTCAATTTTGTTAATGCATTCTGCAACTTGGTTTCTAATGTCATTCATCAGTTCCTATTAATATGATGTTCTTAGTTTCAGGACAACTATGTATGATTTTATATCTGTCAGGCAGGAATGGGAAACATTTGGCATTTCAGGTGTTTTGTTCTGTGGTTCCTATCAGCACCATCCAACATAGTGAATAAAGCTTAAAAGATCATGAGAGTTGCAGTCTAAAATCTCTGAAAGTTTGAAAATTCCCCATCCTTGTACTGAGTGCTCTAAGGTATTTTTTTAAAAAAAAAATGGCACTTCAAACTGGCCATGAAAACAGTTTGGAAACAAGTGCAGATAACAAAGCACTTGTGCAATAAGTTTAAATTACCCAATTCCACTCAACAAAGTAGCCCTTCTACTCTGATTCACTGAGATTTCTGGACCAATTTCAGAGGAAGCTCAACTTACTGTACATCAGAGAAATCCAACAAGAAGTTGTCAATAACTGGATGTAAAACACTTTTTTCTGTTGCCAGATTGGAGATTCTGGAAACAGAATGAAGGCACTGTGTACTTTTTCAAAGGCAGCTGGCTCCTTTTCAAAGAGGGCTGCTTCAGTACTTCTGTTGCCCAAGGCATGTGATAGTTTGGTAAATAATGATTGAAATTCCCCATAATGGCCTTAAAGACATGCCTATACAATGTTTACATAACTGTCCTAAGTATATTCATGCCCCAGAATGGCATTAAAGCGTGCCAATACATTTTGTTTTATAACTGTCTTAGGCAAATATATCTGTCAAATATTTATTCATGCCAACTGTCCTAGATATATTTGCCAGAAAAAATGGGGTGTAGTTTAAGTGATGTTGTTTGTATGATGGAAATATGGTTAGTACATAAGAACATATCTATAAATGGGCATCCTCAGTACAGAGTCTCCTACAGGCATTCGTACCATATGATCTTCTCAATGATTTATTAGCCTTCTGCAGCATTCTTCACAGACAGCCTTGCCTGGTTCTTTATCCAGCTTCCTTTCAGGAAAAGCCTTCATAGAATCCTAGAGTTGGAAAAGACCACTAGGGCCGTTCAGTCTAACTCCTTGTCATGCAGAAGAGCACAATCAAAGTACCCCTGACAGATGGCCATCCAGCTCTGCTTAAAAGCCTACAGAGAAGGAGAGTCAACCACACTCCCAAACAGCAAATCCCACTGTCAAACAGCTCTTTATATCAGGAAGTTCTTCCTAAAGTTCTGGTGGAATTTCTTTCCCCTAAATTTGAATCCATTGCTCTGTGTCCTATCTTCATAGCAGCAGAAAATTAGCTTGTTCCTTCAAAGGCATCCTTTCAGACACCTCTTCTCCAAGCTCATATTTTCCTTAATTTGTACAGTAAGGCAATTCAATAAATGGGTTGTTATGGGCTTTTCGGGTTATATGGCCATGTTCTAGAAGCAGTCTCTCCTGTTGTTTTGCCTGCATCTGTGGCAAGCATCCTCAGATGTTGTGAGGATTTAATATCCTTGTCAGCTTAAATTTATTTTATTTTGTATTTACAATTAATTCCTTCTTCTTTATGTAGACCACCCTGGGAATTTTATTTAAGGATTGCATGAAATAATTAAAATAGGATGCAATCACAAGAGGGATGCAATTTTTTGCTTGTTTCATTTTTGCGGCAAGCAATAATGGTAATGGGCTTTAAAGTTTTGTGTCCAGGGACTAAGAACATCTCCCCACATGATAATCCTTGCTGAAGTTGTCTCTGTGAGAGGGTCACACTCTCAGACATGTTTAGGTGTTACTTTAGCTGGGAATACCATGTTGAGAGTAACTTTTTTTTAAAAAAATGTGCATACACTGTGGATCATGATTGTTCTGTGCATGTTTGATGGCTTTTCAGACTTCAAGTTTCATTTGAAAAAAATGTTTACATAAAAATATGTTTTTTCCTCCCTTACAGTAAATTTTGAGCAAATTTACACTGGTTTCTGAAAAGGATTTTGTGTTTGTGTTTGTATGTATGTGTGTGTTTGCAAACCTTAATGTTTTTGTGCACAGTTGTTTTAACAAAATGTCTTGAAATTCAAAAATGCAGCACATAGCCATTTTCTCAATGGAAATTTGTAATCACTGTATCTTTACAAATCAGTTATATATTAGGACAGGCATCCTCAAACTGTGGCCGTCCAGCTGTTTGGGCCTCCAGCTCCCAGAATTCCTGACCATTGAACAAGCTGGCTAGTGATTCTGTCTTTAGTGCATACCCCCTCCCCTTCTGTATGAAGGCTCTTTTCGACCCCATTCCGGAAGAGTTTCTCTCCCACAAATAATCTGCTCCATTGTTGTCTCACCCTATGTTTTTAGCTGTGTTTTTAGTCTTAGTATTTTATTCTGTATGTAATTTATCATGCTGTTGTTTGTGTTTTGATTTTATTTATTTTATTTATTACATGTTGGGCTTGGCCTCATGTAAGCCACTCCGAGTCCCCATTGTGGAGATGGTGGTGGGGTACAAATAAAGTTTATTTTTTATTATTATTCTGGGAGTTGGAAGCCAAAGCAACTGAAGGGGCACAGACTGAGAATGCCTGCATTAGAGAAATTATTTTTCCTTGCAACATGGCACATCCAAAAAGTCACTTCATTAAAAGAACAATTAAAACAATTAATTGAGACACATCCATTAAAATCAAAATCCAAAAACCAGTCCAGGTCAATTCATTGCCATAAGTTGTGTGATCTTCTTCCACTTGCTGCTCACTGATCAAATGCTTGGTTCCATAACCAGGTCTTGATTTTCCTTCTAAAAGATAAGAGGGAGGTGGCCAATCTGATATATCTAGGGAGGGTGTTCCATAGGTGGAAGGGGGGGCACTGCTGAGAAGGCCCTGTCTCTCGTCCCCATCAACAGTGTTTGTGATAGTGGTGGGATCGAGAGCAGGGCCTCTCCTAAAGATCTTAAACTTCATGATGGTTCATGGCAGGAGATACATTCAGACAGGTAGTCTGGGCCAGAACCATTTAGGGCATTAAAGGTTAAAACCAGCACTTTGAATTGTGCTCGGAAGCTGATCGGTAGCCAGTGGAGTTGGCGTAACAAAGGAGTCGTATGTTCCCTGTATGTTGCTCCAGTGAGCAACCTGGCTGAAGTTGAAGCAGTCTTCCGGGCAGTTTTCAAAGGCAGACCCATGTAGAGTGTGTTGCAGTAGTCTATTTGGAATGTAACAAGAGCATGGACCACCGTGGCCAAGTCAGACTTCTCAAGGAACAATCAAAAGTTGTATTGCCCACTTGCCTGACATGATAAAGATAACAGGATAATTACAGTCCTGGGAAAGAAATATTGTTGATCTCAGTGGCATAAAATTGTGTCCTTTAGTTCAAGCATACTAATTCATCAATGTATTATTTTTAAAAGACTATAGATAGATTACATGAATGAATAGGACACCAGTAATATAGCATTATAGAGAGAACTGTGGTATTGTTTGAAACATAATACTGTAAAGTTTGTACCTTCAAAGTTGATATTCATTATACAGATGTTTAGACAAAAAGCCTTCATCTCATGTATGGAGGGGGATAGTAGGGCTCTGGTGTTTTCTCTACCAACCTTGCTCTTTTTTGTTGAAAATGTTAAAAAAAAAGAGGGTCCAGCGCATTAGAAAGTAAGTCCCCTTAAAGGCCACTTCTACACTGCCATATAAAATCGAGAGTATCTGCTCTGAACTAGATTACAGTATATGGTAGTGTAGACTCATATAATCAAGTTCAAAGCAGAGAATGCAGATTCTCTGCTTTGATAATCCGGATTATTTGGCAGTGTAGGAGGGGCCTAAATTATATACACAAGAACTACATCATAAGGGTCTCAGGGAGATAAAATGGGATTATGTGATGTAGGAGCACCTAGTGAGGGAAGAGAGGATATATAAAGGGCATACTAATTAACCTCAAATTAAATGGCATTCTTAGAATCATTTCTAAAATTGCCCCTGGAAAATTATTCAAATTTAGAACTTCTACTTGCATTATTCTCCTCCAGGAATATTGTTACTTTGCTTTAAGAATAATAAGAGCAGACAGACACCCATGGGAAATCAAGACTGTAACAATTAATACAGAGCATGCGAGAGAGTTAGTCATAGATGCAACCTAGCAAAATCTCATGGCAATTCAATTCTATTATCACAGGTATTCCTAAATTTCCCAAAGAGAAGATTGGCCCTATAGATGTAGAACATGGTGATGCAATGGTCTTGCGCTGTAATCCTCCCAAAGGAATTCCACCATTACGTATTTATTGGATGAATATTGGTGAGTATTTTCATGTTACTCTATGCACCATTTTAAATAAATCTCTCTTTTAAAGATTTCCTGTAACCTGAACTTAATTGAAATCATATATGTTCAGAAAAAAATTCTGAGTGTAACAAAGTTCACAAATGAACACTTTTTTAAAAACAAAAAATGAATTATGAAAAATTGAAAAAAGGTCTTAGGTCAGTGTATAAGTAAATGCAGTTTTTAAACGTCCAGTCCATCTCAGCATAAGACAATAAAATATGATAAGTTAGAGTTCAAGTTATTTTTTTTAAAATGTGCGAGAAACAGATGAGACCTTGAACTAAAATGTGGATGAGGAGAGGGAAACATGAGAAGAATACAGTTTCGGGTTTCGGGTGCTCTCGGCGGGAGAGGAAGAGCGGGATTGTTACCTCCTGGCAGGAGAGGAAGAGAAGAGAGAACAAAGAGATCTGAGGAGAAGAACTGAGGAGAAGACAAGGGGGAAAAACGCGAAGGAGGGAACAGATGGTCAATGCGCCCCTACCTCTTCTTCACTGCTGCTTTGGACTGCCGCAAGGCCCGAAGCGAGGAAGCAGCTGCGGTGCTCCGCTGATCTCCTTCGCCCCCCCCCCCACCCATTGGTTCCTGCCAGCTTGCCTCCGAGCCCCTTTCTCCCTCTCTCCTCCCCGGTACCAAATTTCCAGCTTCCAGCTCCCTAGCCACGTCCTCCTTCCCCGACGCCCGAAAGGAGACTGAGAAAACAGGAGAGGATAGAGGAACGCACAGAAAAATCTCGCGAGAAAAAGCGAGACTTGGAAATACCACAGGAAGAGAATAGTAAAAAAAATTAAAGTGAATAGAGAAGGGAGAAGAGACTGTGATAGTGACAGTGACAGCTATAAGTTATATACAAACGGACGAACTGCTAAACAACAAGCGGAAGAAAGATTATTAACAAGAGGAAGAAGTGGGAGAGGAAGAGGGGAAGTGAGACACGAGGGAGGAAAATAAAGAAATAAAGAAAGGAACCCAGAGTATCCAGAAAAGACCCAGAGCAACCAGAAAGACAATAAGAAAGAAGAACAAGGAAGGCACTAACACAATAAAAAGAGATGTCTGCCCAAAAAAAAAACTAGAAAAGGACAAAGAGAAAGACAAAAAAGCAACCAGCAAGAAAGACGCCCCAACAGAAGAACCAAGCATCAAAGATGTGTTGGCAGAAATAACTAAATTATACCTAGTGGTACAGAATATGCAAACTAATCAAGATACACAGAATGCAGCATTGAAAGAAGAACTAAAAGAGATGAAGAAAGATCTAAAAGAAGAATTACACTTAGCTTTTAAGAGAGAGATGAACGAAACGAGAGAAGACATAACCAGATTGAAACAAGAAAATAAAGACCTTAAAAGGGAGAAGGAGAACATCAAAGAGCAACAGCTAGACCTGAGGAAGAAATTAAAAACAATGGAGGGAACAATCTCATCATTAAAACTCCATCAAGAAACACAGGAAATTAGAGAAAAAGAATACCAACTTAGATTTCGCAACATACAAGAAGATGAAAATGAAAACATCAGAGAGATAATTGTGGAACTAATATTGATTACATGCAAGAACACCACAGACTTGGCAGAGAAGAATATTGATCGAGTCCTTAGGATTAATTCCAACTATGTGAAAAAGACCAAGGTTCCACGCGACGTCCTTGTTTTCTTTACAAGGAAAGCTAGAAGAGATGAGGTCCTCAGGGAAAATGCAAAATCCCCTGTAATGTATAAGGGAAACAGAATTGTGATCCTCAAAGAAATACCAATAACAATACTAGAAAGACAAAGAAAATACAATTTCTTAACAGACGAATTGAAAAGAAGGAATGTCCGATTTAGATGGGAGAAAACAGAGGGAGTGATGGTCATGTGGAACAACACAAAACATTGGTTAACAACGGAGGATAAGGCCAAAACTTTCTGGGAGAAAATACTACAAAAAGAAACCCAAGACGACCTAGTGAAAGGGGCTGGAGAAGACCCAAAATCACCAATGACAGAGGGAGGAATCAGCAAAAATGAGAGCAGCGAGGAGATCTCACCAACGGGAACAGACCAGATTAAAAAGAAAAGAAAAAGACCGAGGAAGAATTCTCCAAACACCTCACCCTCACCACAGATCCAGAGAAGAGCAACTACAAGACAGCAAATAAGGTAATAAAAAATAGCTTTAATGGAACAAAGAATTAAAATAATATCTCAGAATGTAAATGGACTGAACTCCCTGAGTAAAAGGAAAGGAGTATGGCACCAGTTAAAAAAAGAAAGATGTGAGATAATTTGTCTACAAGAGACACATATTATACAAAAACATGTCATACACCTAGAACAAAATAGTCTAGGAAATTTATTCCAAGCATCCAGTTCAGAAAAGAAAAGAGGTCTTGCAACATATGTAAATGGAAAACTAACTTCCAAATTAGCCTTTAAAGATGTGGAAGGGAGAATATTAGGGGTAATGGTAGAAATGAAGGGATGAAACACCTTAATCTGTAACATATATGCTCCAAATGAAGGAGAAACCAAATTCTGCCAAAAATTAAGAAATTTTATACTGGAAACAGAATATGATGAGCTGATGATATTAGGAGACTTTAACGGGGTACTAGATAAAGGTAAGGACAAATCGGGGGGAAAAGGGGCAAAGATCTCCCCGCTCATCAGGAGTACTTCCGAAAGCATGTCTCCAAATATTAGAGGAAAATTATGGGGATCAAATGTTATGTTTGGGTCAGCACCAAGGATCAAACTCAGACTAAGGTTTATACTCCTTATTTAATACTAACATATAGTAAAATAAAGATTGTTTCAGCTACTGTTTTCTACGATGAGGGATAAATGAGACATTGTATTGAGAAGGTCTACTTGTTTATAGAAGCTGAACATTTCAGTGAAGGCCAAGGAAATTATAACAATAATGAGATTCTTTAAAAATTTCTGGAAAATATATTTTCCCTGTTCTGGGCACATTGTCATAGTTCTTATTCAGTATGACAGATCCTATCTTCTGGGGGAGTGGTAGGGGGATAAAGTACACTGTGTCTATCAAAACAGCAAATTAAAAACGGAATTTCATTATAGGATACAGATTAAAAGTGTAGATTCTGTGTGACAGCAACAGAGGGGATTTTGACAATGTTTATAATACAAGCCTAGTCTGAACCATTCTCTAAGGAATGTACAATTAAACTGACATACTCGTCATTGCAAATGTTCCATTATCTCTTCAGAATATTTATATAGTCCAGGTATCTAAAGATATATTTTCTTTTGAATGCTTGTAGGGGGAGGAGGAGGAACCTCCTTTTATTGTTTTGTAAAAATGGTTGAATATGTCATCGATTGTCTTAGACCTTAAGACTCTTTATAACATCAAAGAGTCATTTCCTTACATGGGAGCAAGCTGTTGTCGGATTGGGAAGAGATCATTACCATATTGTCATTACATTATTATTTTTCCTTTCTAGCTTTGCAACACATCCCACAAGATGAAAGGGTCTCCATGAGCCTTAAGGGGGATCTTTTCTTTGCAAATGTGGATGAGAATGACAGCCGGAGTGATTATTGCTGCTTTGCCTCATTTCCAAGACTAAGGACTATTGTACAGAAAATGCCAATGACTCTGACAGTTACACGCTGTAAGTCTGGGAATCCCATCATCCCCTTTACCCCTTTATTCTTCTGTACCTTCCCCAACCTAATGCCTATCCCTAAGCCACCAGCTCTTCTGGAAGTCTTTCATGTATTTCTATATAACGTTCTTTCTTTTCTTGGAGAAATATATGCCAATATATTTATTCCTGCACCATTATCTATACTTTGAGAACTGGGACCAGATCTGCAGCTGTTGGCCCTCCAGAACAGTTGTATAGTTTGTGTTGATAAAAACCTAATCATCATGCATGTTGGAAATCAACCTCTTTTCAAAAACCATCAGTTGGATAATTTCCCTTTAGCACAAAAAAAGGAAGTTCTTGGTCTGCTAAATCACTTTACTACATAAGAGACATTTATTGCAGTGTATGTCAGCAATAATCCTTCACAGTCCCCAGTAGTGGATAGAAAAAGGGTAATTTTGTTCTCAAAAAATATCCCTAAATCAAAATCATTAATGTGAAATCAGAATATAGGAAGTTTTTGGGGGGTGATGTAATTGCACAAGCAAGACTCAATTGGTGTTTTGCTATGCTTCCTGCCAGTGCAATGCCATGGCAAAACATGTACTGAAACCTTTTAACATGTTGAAAAACTGAATGTTTATTTGGAGCAGGTATCTAGAAAAAACATATGCAGTAGAAAAATAAAATGTGCAGTACATAGTAGGGGTTTGCGAATCTGGCAGTTAGGGCTTTAATCAGGAACAAGGTTATTTTTTTCAGACAAATAGATGAGGAAAAGAAAAATAAGTATAACAAATATAAACAACTGTTACCTTTCAGTCTTTATAACTTTATATTAATAGTATATTAATGGTACCAACTATCTGGCTGATCCATCTGTGATTTAGAGCTCTTCACACGACCCTTGCAAGCTGTGCGGTTGCGCCGGTAATTGCTGACAAAAAGAAAGGTGTGCGGGGCGGCTTCTGTTGCCCCGCATGCCCTCCCTCCTCCGCTCATCACATGCAGGGGACAGGAGAGGGTGCTTTGGAACCCTTTCCCTCTCCCCTCAGATGGCAGAAAGGGTGTTGCTTTGTCGCCCTTTCCTCCATCACACATGGAAAAGGGGAGGAAAGTGTGGGTAGCTTCGCCTGAGCTACCCAAACTACACTTCCCTCCCAGTAGTCATGGAGGAAGCACAAAAAGGAGCTTTGAAGGAAAGTGGGCAGGGCCTGCCATGCATCATGTGATGGTGAGGAGAGGAGGAGGATTAATAAATTTTCAAACAACCCTTGCCTAGATACTGGAAATTCAGCTCAGCCCTTTGGAAGCTGCAAACCATCTCATATTTTATTGCCTTTTAAAGCATAACTTATAAGATTTTATTATGTGGTTAAATAAGTTAATTTGTTATATTTATCTGTGTTTATTTTTGTTATGTTTTGGTTTGTCTTATATAGTTTTAGGTTGTCTTATTGTATTTGATTTATTTAATACTTGCTTGCTTTGGCATTGAATGTTTGCCAGTCTGTTACATTGTTGGAAACCACCCAGAGTCCCGGATTCTTCTGGGTCTTTCTACTGTACACCATGGCTTTATGGATTGCCAGAATCTAGGAAAATTCCGTAATTTTGTAAGCAGATTTTGTAACAACTTTTATAATTACATAGACATAAATGGTGATTCAGTCCACAGTGTCATATCTTAGGGACAGTGCCACTGAATGTCTTGGTGAGGCTGCATTTGTCTGTTTCTATAATGTGCTACATGCCCATGTAAAATAACACACAGTGCTGGACAGATTGGTGACAAGTGCCTCCTGTGTACTCCTGTGCATCAGAAAGAAAATCTCATCTGTCCAGGGGGAACAACTTATCTGAAGCATTGATTATGTCTTGCTTCTAAACCTCACTTCTCTTTTGCTACTGAAATTGGAAAAGTTAATACAGTTCCCAGTCATACTGGAGTACAATAATGCCTCACTTTTGTGTTGCAGTGTATTGTTTGTCATTGGTGTTATTCTCCCCTTTATGTAAGAGGCCTTAGGAAATTGCTTCTATTTTTAATCCTAAAAAGAACTCTTATAATTTCACAGCTATGGGTAAAAGGCTGATAGGTAACACTTAACCATGACAGAGGAAAACTTTCCATTCTGTCTGTAAATTGCACTTGTTCTATTTTTCGGTGGGTATGTGTGTGTGTGTTTGAGGGAATCAGTTACAGTGTTCTAGTTATCTTAGGGCTGGTGAAGGGTCTTGGAGGAATGCACACAGTTAAGGGCACATGAGATGGGATGGGCAAAGAACCAATGTGTGACAATTTATACCAGTGTGAACATTTTCTCCATAAGGAGAAACAACAGAGCTTACTTCTATGCATGTCTATTCAAAGTATAGCAACTTTTCCACCTCAGAAGCACAGCTCAGTTTTGTGCTCTTCTATCCAATCAGCAGTTTGAAATAACAATTGAGCCAGCTAGAAGTTTTCCATGAGCCACAACCAGGCTGTGGAAAGAAGTATAGTATAAAGGTACATTTACCATTTCAGTCTTTTTTTTTCTCAGATCCATTGAGATTCAGAAAAACACAAATAACACAAATCACTGAAGATAATATGGTAAACAAATATGGGCTGTGTTTTCATTGAAAGTATGCCTTGCAAAAAAAATATGGAAAAATAATTGAAGTAAATTACCCAAACTGGAATGTGGAGAGTTTTTAATTATTAGTGGAGTCTTAACTAGTTTTTTGGGGGAAAACATGTCTGTTCTTTTCGATTTTGTTTTAAAATTGTCTTTGTTAAAAATACTCAATATTCCTTCACCTGTAATCTAAGACACTTTTACTAAAAAGGAAACTTGATTGAACTCATAAGGAACTCACTAAGAAGACATGACTATGGTTGTATTGGTAGATATTTTGCTTAAGCTATCAAAATGTTTCTTTAGGCAAAATTTGGTGGGCTAAAACAACATTTGGTAGCTTAACTAAAATGAAGCCAAACTAACCTAATTAATAATATGTCATGTGACTTTAAAATGTCATAAACTGGTAATTTTATTATAGTGAATTCAAAACTATAACCACAAAGTAAAAGGAAAGCAAGGTATGAAGACATTTAGTTTCAGCTTAAATGATGACTCTCACTGAAAAATCACAGAAAAGCAGTATAAACTGTCCGAGTTCTCTACACAAAACAACTAATCACAAATGCAATGATTGCCTAACACAATGTTACTGTCATGCAAGTCTTCAAAAACCATAATGTCTCTGTGGCTGTATCTATATGTAGTTTGGTATTCTGGTCAGTATATCTCCTAGAAATTGTGGACAAGTATAAGGATAATGGGAAAATGCCTGAATTAACTGAAGGAGGAATTCTATCTGCAGTGGTCAATTTCTGAATCATCAACCGTATACCTCAGGCTCACTTAACATTTCTGAATTTGTGTTTACTTTATGTGCACATCAGTTCATTATCACTATGCATGCTGACATTACATGAAGGATGGGCAACTTATGGCATATAGGCTGTGTCTCCGGATGACATTGATCATTGGAAGTTGCCCACCCCTGCATCACATGTTTATGCTAATAATGATACTGCAATTTGTTTTGAGGCAATAATTGGACCATAATTTGGAAAACACAAAATGGCTTGTTTCATTTGATTTTACCCAAATGGCATTTTTCCTTAGGGATTTCATAAATCATTGGAAGGGAAAGCAAAACTGAGGATGACAGACATGATTTGGTACACAAGAGATAGAAATTACAATCTATAAATGGCTTTGCAGTCTGAATATGAAATCCTTATGCAGTTTGATTCTTTCCATCAGGTCTTTAAAAATTCACCATCATTCATATTTCCATTTGGTGTCCATTTTTTGTTTATTTCAGCAAAATATACTAATGATTCCAGTTCCTCTAGTGCTTCTAAGGGTAAGTTACCATTATTTAGCAATTGAGTCCACCATGTCTATAATGTGGGTTTCAACAAAAATGTCTCTGTACTGTTGAAATAAGAATTACCATTAATATCACATTTTGAGAAGGTTATTTCTCTTAGCACACACAGTCCTGCAAATAATAATAATAATAATAATAATAATAATAATAATAACAACAACAACACTTTATTTGTACCCCACTACCATCTCCCCAAGGGACTCGGTGTGGCTTACATGAGGCCGAGCCCAAATACAACAATACAGGCAGTAAACAACAATACAAGCAATTAAAAATAAAAAACATAGACAATAAAAATATACAACATTATCAATAAGACAACACACAATTAAAAACAAGTTATTTTGTCACCACCAAAAATACTTCACAAAAGCCTCCCAAATGGGTCTTGAACCATGTCTAATCTCATTATGCTTAGTAGTTTTTTGAGACACTCTCCATCATCAAGGATGAAAAAGATTTGAAGATCTTTATGACATCCCAATCTTCCATTCCAAAAAGTAGCAGGAAAACAACAATTTGCTCCCTATTCCTATTCACCTGGGAGGTCAAAGAAAGTGGAAAGTTTACTGGAGGTTAGTTGACCTCACCAAAAGGACCCAAGTGCTGTGTGTTGTTCATTTATTCCCTTACCACGACACTATGCTGGCTGTAACCCTTTTAGACCTCTTGCATTTAGCATGCTTAGATTTGGAAGGTGAGGAAAGGCCCTCCCCTCTTATTCTATATTCCAACTGCCAGTGCTGTGTCCTTGGAGGGGGGGGGGGGAGGAACAAGCAGTTATAACTCCATCATGTCTGTGCCAAGCAGCTGATGAAATATGCTTCCTCCATCCCAACTACCAATGCCCTGGTATTAGAGTGTAGACAATATCTGCTGGACTTAGTACTCTCCCCTTCTGCCTTTTCCTCTACCTTGTGTTCATCTACACTATAAAATAAATGCAGTTTGTCACTATATTAACTGCTATGACTCAATGTTTTGTAACCATGGGAGTTTGGTAGAAAAGGTCTGTAGCCTTTTCTGCCAAAAAGGCTGGTGGGCCTAGTGCCTCACCTAAGTATATATCCCAAGATTCCATAGCCATAGCAATTACTGTAGCATGAAACTGCATTAATTCTGCAATACAAATGCACCCCATGTGTGTTGTGTTTTATTTACATTGTAAGCCAAGGAGCATGAAACTATCAAAGTTTGGCCAAAGGGAGGGATATAAATAATCTAAATAAATAAATAAATAAATGGTTCCACTTTTTAGAACAATTATTTCTATTGTACCACACACAGAGCTTCTTCAACCTCATAAACCTCCCTTGTGTCCAAAGATATTTTCACCCTCTGAAAAAAGAGCTATGACTTTTTGTTTGCCATAGTGGCTGCTGGCTTCTATTTTTGTGAGCCAGAATCTCCTGGGGGATTTAGTGTAAAGAAAACAGTAAAGGTTATGTCCATGGTGCTGAGCTTTCTTCTCCAAATAGGTTCAGTCCTTTGTTGAGTTTCATTAATTTTCGGTTTATAATGCGAAACTATGCATGATCAGAACCAATCACTTCTTCCTTTTAGAAACCTTGGAATATTTTATTCCCAAAACAGCTATGTAATTTTGTCTTGCTCCCCAACTCCACCATTATCCAACTGGAGAAACTGGCTACACATAGGCAAAGTAATATGGCAGGGAATATTGCTTGCTACCTCTACCTCCCACTTCACTTCGTTTTCCTTGAACAGTTGTTTTCTTGTGGAGTTCCCTAAATCTAGTCTACAGAAAAATAGATATATTATTACTTCCACTGATACTTATCTAGATTTGTAAAACTGGTGACAGTTGAAGATAAACTTGTGCCATGTTAGACATCTTGTGTGCCTTACAGGGCTTGAACATGACTGATATTCACTGAATCCCAGAATGCAGATCAAAATTCTACATTCTTTTAATCATTCTTTGAATGCTTGGATATGGATATTCCTGATGCATAATTGAAAATATGGAAGAAATATGTTGGATGTTTTTATAGATTATTCCAGATCACATTAAAACGTCAAGCACTTGTTTCAAGACCTTTGAAATTATATTTCTCCTCCTTGCAGCAAATTTATTCAAGGAAAGGAAACCAAGACTAGTTATTCCTGAAACTTCTGACCACCAGTCAAAAGTGACTGTCATGAAAGGAACTGATCTGCTTTTGGAATGCATTGCTGAAGGACTGTGAGTATAACTGTTGTATAACTTACATTACAAATCTGTCTAGGGAAGGATAAGCTGAGGTGGAAATTGCCAAACAATGTTTGCATACATGTATTTATTTCCCCAATTTTATCCTATTCAATAGGATAAAATCCCTATCACTTAATTCTGATGAAACAACCTGCTTCAAGTGGGAACATTAAGAGGAGTATAGGTGGGCAGATGAAAGCAAACATTGATAACTGAATAGTACATCAACTTTTCAAACCTGAAGTGCATATTTTATGGTGTTCCAGCTGTTTTGGACACAAAGTGCTATCCTCTCTCATCATTAACTGTGTTTCTGAAATCTGATGAATATTTCAGTCTGATAAATTCTCAAAGGTAACAAGTTGTCTTCCTCAGTTTTACAAAAGGGATGCATTTGATTTCCATTTTGGACCCTAAATTGCTGTGGATTGCATTATGCTTTTCAAGATCTCACAGTCTTGTTGAATAAGGAAACTAAAATGAATAAAATTAAAAACTTACGATGAAGAAAATTTCCAAGAAAATGATCAAGCACCTACAGTTTTATCATTGCAAACTTCTTACAGATGAAGAGCTGTGGTTTACCTGGCTGTTGATCTCCAAACAATAGTAATTCAATTCTGCTAAATGTATTATTGAAGGCTTTCACAACCAGGATTACTGGAGTATGGCCGTGTTCTAGCACCATTTTCTCCTGACATTTTACCTGCATCTGTGGCTGGCAGCTTCAGACGATCCTCTGACTATGCTAGCCACAGATGCAGATTAAACATCAAGAGAAAATGCTGTTAGAACACAGCCATGCAGCCTAGAAAACACACAACACTCCAATTCTGCTCAATTTGTTTCCAAGCAATTACAAAATTAAACCTATAATCTTTCTCAACAGTGTGTTTATTAGTCTGACTGAAATCAATGAACTCATGTGTAACTGTAATGAGACATGCAGGCCAAGAGTGTGGTAGCCACCATTTTAAGTATAATGAATATGAAAATTGGAAGACTGTTGCTAATTTGTGTATGTAGGCAGTAGATGGTAATTGGCTTCATTGTTGGAAATGTTTGCATTTTAGTTCAGTAAACAATTTTATTCCTTTTTTATTCTTATTTTAGTTTGCAAGTCATATTTTTGTACAGTTTCTTCCCTAACTGATAAACTGAGATTTCTATTGCTTTGAGGGTGTTGATAGAGTTATTGCCAAAACAGCAAAAAAAAATAAATAATTGTTATCCATTTTGAAGTATGTATGTAATTTATCACACTTATCTTCGGCTGTACAAAACTTTGTACAAAATATTTGCTTTAGGAACCAAAGGAGGCTTGTCTAGAGCTGAAGTTTCAGAAAATGTCTGAAGCTAATGTTTCCTGATGAAAATAGATTCCACTTAAACCAAAAACATTGTGGTTTGGAATAACAATGATGTTTAAATCAATTAAAAAATTAAATAAATATACATAACCTGGAGCTGAAAGTAACCTGGGTCTTGGCACATTGCCATCCCAACAGATGGACACAAGAGTAAACAGACTTGACTCTGGCCTATGTGTACCATGTACAGTGTTGGCATCAGGAAAGCCAGCTGGGAATGTTAAGTTAGCAGCCTGCCCTGAACTTCTGTTTCTCTTGTTATGAGAGTGCCCCATTAATTCTGCAAAACACAGAGTCTCTTTTATATTCAGTTGCCTAGAGAATTGGCTCTGGCTGGGCAGACACAGAATTGATTAGTGTCATCAAAGTGAAATCTTTACCCCATTTATGACTGTGAAAGGCATTATGGTATGGGCTGAAGCAAGCATCTGTACCTCTGTGCATGCCACAGTTTTTCAGTGGCATTCCAACTCATTTCTTAATCTATTTCTGATAATAAAATAACCTTTACTCATTGCTGAGTCCTTTAATAAAGTGGCAGCACATATTTCAAAAATGTAATGTTCCCATCTGTGGCTGTGTACATATAGAAAAGTGATTTATTGGTGTCAAGTATATAATAAAACAAAGATAAATGCATACACACTGAGATGCATAAATGTATGGATGTTTAACAAAATAAAAGATAGGAATAATATGTTTTAACATAAATCTTTTATCTTCTTCTTTTTTGCTTCACCATAGTCCAACACCACATCTAAACTGGGCAAGACGCTCAGTTCACAGAGGAAGCATTGAGAATTATGGGAAGCTACTGAAGATAGAACAAGTCACTGACAAAGATGAAGGGTTATATGAGTGCATTGCAAGGAATGCTTTAGGAGAAGCAAGACATGTGTTCGAAGTTGATGTTGAAGGTACTGTGGTCACATTGAGAATTTTTTGTATTTGATGTAAACATACAAGCATGTTGTTATGTGCTTTCAAGTCATCTCTGATTTATGTCAACCACATCATAGGGTTTTCTTGGCAAAATTTATTCAGAGGAGGCTTGCCACTTTTCATCTCTAAGACTCTGGATGTACCCAGACAGGACACAAAATTCACCTGCCCCCCGGATATAAGCCACATTAAGTACAAGTGTGGTATCTGATTAGAGTCATGGTTCTCAGTATTTTGTCCTCCAGATGTTTTTGACTTCATCTCCAAGAATCTCTTTTCCTTGGTCCTGTTGACTGAAGCTTTGAGGGTTAAAGATAAATGCATTAGGAAGGCCAAAAGTTGTAAATTGTTGAGTTAGAATATTGCATGGCACATGGAAGGGTTGCTTTTTATCCTCTCTAGTTCATGAAACTTACTGGGTGACTTTTTGCTGAAAACAAAGAGGGTTTTTTATTCAAAGACAATGAACACACAAATGGTTAAGGTTACAAGATTTTCTTCAAAAGCAGACAAAGCATTGAAGAAAAAATATATGAACCTAGTAAGCTTGTTCTCTATTCAGCCCACCAGGAACCCCATCTGGAGTGATGGTGAGGGATGGTCATGGCCAAAACTCCATGAATGTGTACTTTGGTTTGTAATAGACTTCAGAGTTTGGTCAAATTGTTTCAGCTTATACAGACATCTCTGTTAATTAACCACTTCGTTTTATTATGGAGTCCTTTCAACCAGGAGCATAAGAAATAATTATTCCTGCACTTTTTAACTGGGCACATGAAATAGATAAAATAGATCCTCCCCCCCCCCCCCCCACAAAAATAAACCAAAAAACCAAACACCAATGGCCAAGTTACTCAAGTTGTTTAGTAACAGCCAAACTTACTAATTGGGGCCATTTTCCTGTACTCCCAGGCTATCTCTTCCTAATTAATCCTGGCTTTGAGATATATTCAGAAAGAATAGTCCTGAAAAAAGCTTTTAACTCTTGAGATCTTTCACAATAATAGGCAAAATAATTGTGAGTCGTCGATATACTATAATAACAATAATAAACTTTATCTATAGACTGCCTTATCTCACCAAAGAGACTCGGGGCAGTTTCCAACAAATATGGCAAACATTCAATGCCAAAAGAAAAACCCTGCAAACAGTTTACATCAGGGCACAGACAATATAAAAAAAACATAACTATAACTTAATAATCAAATAGAGGAAAGTATAAAACATCATAAAATACAACACACCTGATAAAACACACCAAAGTCAGGGGGGTCACCACCGAGAAGGCCCTCTCCCTTGTCCCTACAAACTGTGCTTGTGACGGTGGTGGAAGCAAGAGGAGGGCCTCCCTGGCAGATCTCAGAGCTCGTGCCAGTTCTTAGGGGGAGATGCGATCATGAAGATAGGCAGGGCCTGATCCATATAGGGCTTTATAAGTCAAAATCTACACCTTTTTGGGGACTGGAAACTTATCAGCAGCCAGTGGAGCTGCTTTAGTTGGGATGTTGCGTCTTCCCTATAATTAGCTCCAGTTAAAAAAAAACTGGCTACTGACCTTTGTACTAATTGCAGTTTCCAGAGCATCTTCAAAGGCAGCCCCATGTAGATTGTACAATGGTTTTCCACAATATTTTCCCCACAGTGATTTTGAACAAGTTATTCTTCTCAGTGCCACATATCTCACTTTTTTGTGAAGATAGCATTGGGAGGAAGAGAATCAGATATACCCCTTAATGAAAACATTAGATATAAATATCTTAAAATTCTATAAAAACAATTATATCAATTTTGGTGACCATTTTCCAAAAATGAATCATAGGAAGAATAGCCTGTAGAGCTGTTCAGAATTCATTGTTTGAGTTTCGACAGTTCCCAGAGTTTCATGTGGAGTGGGATTAACTATTTAAACCAGTTTAGCTCTGTATTATAGAGATATTTTAAAAATACATATCTATAACCAAAAGCATATTTAGTAGAAAACTCTATTGAATTCAGTGTGGATCACGTCTGTGCAAACATGCACGAGGTTATTAGTACAGTAAAATTATGGAGGAGAGGAACGTAAGGGAAAGCTCATCCATTGGATTTTTGCAGCTTCATTACTTAAGAATGAAAATATTACAGTGTGATCATGTAGCCATCATGGATCATTCTTTCTAATCACCTCCGGAAATTACCTAACCAAGGGAGGTAGACTTAGACAGGAATAGTCTGTTATATTTCCAAGCATTTCAGCTAATAGTGTGAACTCATGCTGTGCCATCCTAGTATGAGTGCTATGCCTCCAGTGATTTTCAGGTTTCAGATTGCTATCAATCTGTGAACTCTGTGTGTACATATTCTTCAAAATAGCATAATTAGAGGAGAAGTGTTCAAACTATTTCAGAGCTGCTTTTGGAAATAAAATATGGAAGTGTAGCAACTGTAATGCTGCCACTTGAACCTGGATGGCATTGTTTATGTATAAGAAAGAATACCTGATGTTTATAAATACATTGAATATTTATAATAGATAATGCTATCCATTTTAGGCTATATGATCACACTCTTTATAGCAGAATGTAAATGAAGTGATCTAAAATTATTATCTTAATTGTAATTGGAGATTTTTTTTTTCATTTATGAAGTGGTCAAGGCATGTCTTTCGTCAAGGCAAGTGGTTCTTTGGCATGTCTGAAAATAGTGAGAATGGAGCTGGTGCGTTTAGTGAATTTACTATAGAGGGCTCTTCCATGTGACAGGGATTTCATATACAGAACCAGTGGTTTAGATCTTGAGCATTTGAGAAGACAACATCAGCTTTCTGCTTAGGAATGATGACATTGTATTGTCAAAGGTTTTCATGCCTGGAATCACTGGGTTGTTGTGAGTTTTTTCGGGGGCTGTATGGCCATGTTCCAGAAGCATTCTATCCTGACGTTTCACTGCATCTGTGGCAGGCGCCTTCAGAGGTTGTGAGGACATCACAGCCTCTGAGGATGCCTGCCATAGATGCAGGCGAAACATCAGGAGAGAATGGTTCTGGAACATGGCCATACAGCCCCCCAAAAAACTCACAACAACCTGATGATGATATCTGCAATCCTCTTAGACCCCATCTACACTGCCATATAATCCTGTTTCCAAATGGAGAGTAACTGCATTGAACTGGATTATATGGCAGTGTAGACTCATATAATGTGGTCCAAAGCAGTCAATCTGCATTCAGAATCTGGATTATATGGCAGTGTAGATCCAGCCTCAGACCTTCCTGCTCTTGTTTAGATGTGCTCCTATAAGCAGAATAGCTGAGGGTAGAATACTGGTTCTTCCCAGCAAGAGTATATCATTGTAAGCTATCCCTGCTATTATGAAACCCAATCGTTTTACAAAAAGGCTGTTCCTGGAGATGGTGAAAATTGACAGAACTATTAATATAGCTTGTCAACATGTGGGAGCTCTCCTTCAGGGCCATGGTGATGATGACCAGCATGCTAAACAACTGTGCATTGCAATTTCCCACTGCATCATTGCGGAGGAATTCTATACAGCCAGCCTAATGCATTCTAGATTCAGCATCCACAAATTCAGCCATCTGCAGCTTGATGTGTGAAAATATATCCCCATTCCCAAATCTTGATCTTGCAATTTTAAAGGGTATTGTTTATAATGGAACTTGGAATTTTGGTTTCCACAGGGGTTCTGGAACCAAACACAGATGGATACCAAGGGCCCATTGTAATAATAATAATAATACTTATTATTTATTTATTTATACCCTGCCACTGTCTCCCCAAGGGGACTCAGGGTGGCTTACATGGGACCAAGCCCAACAACACATCAGTAAAAACAAAACAGCAAGCAAATAAAACAGTACAATTAATATAACTCACATATAAACAACAACACAGAGAATTTAAAACCTTATGGCTGGGCCAGATGTAATAAATTATTTTTTTTTAAAAAAATAAACACCAGAGGTTGGATGTATCTAAACAGGAGGGTTTTAAAAGATAATGTAGGGAGACCAACCCAATGGGTAGTAAAGTGCTTCTGAGGACAATTGCAGAGAATTAATCAAAACAGGGCATTGTTTCCCTGCTTACAGCTAATAGAAATTAGTTGAGCACTTATGTAAGGACCTCACAGATGATCTTAATATATGAACCTCCCCTTAATTATGCATACTGTGCTTACATACTTTGCACTATTTACAAAGAAAAGCATTCTTCAAGACAGGTGGCAGCCTACTATCACAGTGTTGATGCAAACCTTATTCACTCCTCTCTTCCTGCATGTCCTGTTCTGTGGTTATCCTGTGCAAGAGTCTGAAGCAGGGCACTTCTGCTGCCTATGGAGACTGTCCATGAGATTTTTCCAGGATTTTCCAGCTCACATGGAGAATAATCTGTTTCAGAGCCACCAAGCTCATCCATTAGTACAGGGACAGAAGTGATGTCAGATGGGAAGACCTTAATATCTGAATTCAGTTGAATCCAAATTTTTATCCTGTGTGCTTAACAGCAACATGACATAATAAAACTGCCTGTGCTGCTGAGGAGAATGAGCACAGGCAGCATTTAAGCACACACATCTGTCTCTTGCTTGAATTTATTATTTATTCTTCTCTTCTCATCTTCCTGGCATCAGAGGGAACCCAGAAAGGCAACAGACATTTCAAATATTTATGCTTCTTTTTCTTTTTACCCTTTTAATTCATCAGCCACTGCTTTTTACCTCTTTTTTTAGCAAATTGGCTCTAGAATTACTGGGTTTTTCTTTTTCATTGAAAGACAGCATTGCTCATCCTGAATAAAGTGGGAGGGAGTGTGTGAGGTGGTGGATAAGTGCAAAGATGGCAACCATGGGGCTGTCCCAACAAGTATCTGGCCCCACCCACAGTGCTGGACATACATTGGACTTGGTTTTCTGTCAGGGATGGGAGGAAGGTGGCGGTGTTGAGGAGTTATCCATCTCTCCGTTGCCATGGACCGAC